GGAGGAAGAGACCCTAAATGTGAAAATCATTTGTGAAATTGAGCAGGCCAAGGGATTTTAGTGTGTGCTATTAAGCGGTCGGTGGGTCGGTCGGGTTGGGCTGGGTGTGGTGGTATATAAACCGCTTAAATGCAACAGTTACATAAACTATTTCGCATGCACATTTGCTCGCTTTGCCAATAGTTAGCAGTAACCCAGCACGAGCAAATCCTTCTGAAAAGTATTCTCCATTACATTATCGCGTTTCGGATTGTCATTTAATGACCTTCATTGGCAAAACAAAACAAAAAAAAGAGGCGAAAAGTACACAGGGAGGGATGGCAATACCCACACGAGCTATACTCAAAGGGTAATCACATTAAATAGCTGCCTCAAATGACACGCCTTGACAATGAATGTCAACAGCAATAATCATCAAAGCTTACAAAAACAACAACAGCAGCAACACCTCCACCATCATCATCGTCGTCATCGTCACCAGCAGTACAGGACGACAATTATTTTTGAATGACAGTTTTTTGTTTTGTTTGACAAAGGACCAATAATAACAACAACAATAAAATGCATTCAGGATATTCAAGGTTTTAAGGCAATGCGAAACCATTGCAGTGCAATGACAATGCCAATGCAAGGGAAAAAATAATAAACAACAACAACAGTGACACTCCAACAATAACAATAAAACTCACTCCTCACTCTCAACATCAGCAATTACAGTGTCAATTTAATTTGTTCTCAGCTATAATTACCACATTAATTCACTTATATTTTTTTTATTTCGCAGCTGATGGTCATCATAATGCGATGCGAATCGTGGGTGAATTAAATCGCTTAAAACAAACAGTTGTCGACATTTGTGTAAGGATCAATATTTTTTTTATTTTTAATAAAATAGATAAGGTAACATGTCCGGTCGGACCTAAAACTGGTCGGAGGCTTAAATAGGGGGCGCTGCGTCAAAAACATGTACCCACACGAAATATTACCTTTATGAAGACCTTCAAATCGGAGAAATTCCTATGTTCAAAATTATTTTTGGCTATAATCATCTCAACAAACTTGAAAAAATATTTTCAAAAATCCACGCCAAAATACACGTCACCGGTAGACCATTGAAAAAATATTTTTAAAAATACACAGCACCGGTAGACCCTTAAAAACATATTATTAAAAAATCGAAGCCTTTGGTAGACCCTTGAAACCATAATCTCAAAAAACCCACATATCCGAACATATCCACAATCCCTGAACATCCACATCCCTGAACATATTTAAAAAAAAAATAAAAAAATTCACGGTAGACCCTTGGAATTTTCTAAGGTCAAACTATAATTTGTGAGATAATCGAAAAAAATCGTATGTCAAAAATTCTTGTGTGTGCGAGACTTTCTCAGCAACGAACCTATTTAAATTTTTGGTCCATTTTATCTGAAATATCTAAGGTCAATCTATATTTTTTACGACAATAGGAAAAATTCCTATGTTCGTGTATAAGGCCCCTCTCAACACGAATCTATTTTATTATTATTATTTTTGCAAGGAACTAATTAAAATTATTTCCGATGCGGGGGTTTGAAAAAAGTTATTTTGGATCGTCCTGATCAAAATATTTTGTACCTCTTAGTACTATTTCCTAAAAAATATTTGCGTATAAAACATTATTCATCATAGTTAAAGGTATGTACTAAATTCCAGAGTCCTTTATAAATCTTTGACTGCCTTTTATTATGGATTTCCGAAAGATCAGCCTCCACCTCACTCAGCACACAATTCCTATATTAAATTTTATCTTTTTTATGGTATATGACATTTCCTTTAAATTTTTAAAAATTCTGAAAGTATCCTTGACTTTTAAGAATTTAATTCTCAATTTCAATTCTCAGTTTTATTTATTTTTTATTTCAAAAAAAGGCAATGTCATTTGCAGCTCCTCTTTACCTTTACATTTCGTGCACTATATAAACAACAATAAATCACAATTCTGTGTCAATTTATATTTGTTTATTTGTTGATTTTCCGACATAACCAACCATTCATTCATTTATACTTAAAACATTTTCCAAAAGAAAAAATCAAGCAAAAGAAGAAAATACAGATGAATCGTTTTCTTTGCTATTGGGACTAATTGGACTGCAAAAAATACCAAAGGTCTGAAGGAAAATATCAAACTACCATCGGTCATAGCGGTTGGTTGTTTTTGTAAAATATCACAAAAATGCCAAAACCCCCCTATTAATTGGGAGGCATAATTTTCGGAAAAATGTACAACAATTTGGATGAATAAAATTTCAATTCAAATGAATAAAAATTGAGGAGGTCTAAAATGAAAAGAGATTCCAATAAAATTGGTAGATTTGGGTTGAGTTGATTTTAGTTCGAAATGTAAGGTAATAGCTTTTAGTTGTCTATTTCAATATTTATTAATAAATAATTCAAAAAGTAAGAAGAAGATGAAGGCATGTCACAGTATGACACTTTTGTTTTTAAATCAGAATATATAACTTTGTAACGTGTGTTAAGATTTTTTTTTAATTTCATTGACTTTTTTAATTATTTTCTTTTAAAGTTTTAAACATGTGTCGATAATTGTTGTTATTATTATTTTATAACGAAATTTTACTTTAGTAATTAGAAGTAATAATGAAAAAAAATGTCGATAATTAGCGTGTGAGTGTGTTGCCTGCACTCTAAAGTATTTTTCGTTTCGAAGACATACTTTTGGAACATTGACTTTTAATTGGTTTCCTTGTAATTAAATTTCTAGCGATAAGAAGGTGGGTCTTTTCGGCTCCAACTATAATTTACAGTGACCACCACCAGCTCCCCTCTTCCCTCTATATACAACAACAATAATAATTGCCTTGTAAACATAACTTTAAAATGAACAATTGAACGAACGAAATACCAAGGACAGTTTTTGTGTGGTAGCAAAATGGGCTGTCCGAAAAAAATCAAAATCACAATCACACACACACACAAACGATATTTAGCAAACAACGAAAGCCAGTCAAGTTTTGCGTGTTATTGTTTAATAAAAAATCCTACTCAACCACATACTCCCAAACACATACACATAGGTCCTTTGAAAAATATATATTACATATAAAACCTGTATATAGGATATATTATCGCATTTATTTTATCAATGCCCAAAGAACTATAAAAACCATTCTCAACTCAACAATGAATGACATTCTAACTCACAAAAACCGTCGTCGTCGTCGCCGTCGCCTTTGTCCCTTCAACCTGCCTAAATATCCTTAAACAGGCCATTGTTATTACCAAAAGATGGGGGAGAAAGATTTTCTTTTTCTTTTAATTTGAAATCTGACAAAAAGAAACTCAACAACTTGAGAAAAGGAAGAGGGAAGGAAAAAACCCAAACAAATGAAATGTTATGTCTACAAGTCTACTTCATTATTAATTGCCTCTGACGCTATTTTAAGAAAGAAAAATTAATGTTAGATTTTGTTAGCCAAAAAGGTATTAGAAAGAAAGAGATTTTTCGGTGTATAATTACGTATTATGATGGAAAAGTGTAATAGTGATTAACTTTATTAAAAAATTAGAGAAAATTATGGTTGTAAAATATAATCAAACCTGTTGAGCTGATCAAACTATATATGGTCAGAATATTTGACTAAAATCTTTATTATATGAAAATGTCGGGATTTTTATATTGAGTCTATATATAAAGTATCGCCGTAGTCACTTCCTGAAATCACCCCTGGAAGTATCGCCGAAGTCACTTCTTGGAAATCTCACTGAAGTCTCTTCATGGAAGTATACCCACAGTCTCTTCTTGGAAGTATCGCCGATGTCCCTTTAGAGTTTTGTCCGAAGTTGTGCAGAAAATAGAAAGTTCCCTTAAAATTTCCCTTTATTTCACCGTAGTTTCTTTACGAATAATTTGTTTAGAATTCGCAAAGAAACTCGAATGTTCCTTTCGATTTTTTTTTGATAAAACTTTTCGAATTCGTGGACACCTTTACACAATTTTTGTTCTGATTTCCGTACGAATTGGGCATCAGAATCGAAAACTTTTGCAGAATAACGTTCCTAATTCGGAAAAAAATTGGACATCAAAATTACATCGAGGCCATGTAAAAACCTTGACCTATTTTTAGAGTTGTCTGTGGAGAAGTGCTTTTACCACACAGAAAAATGCCAAATTACATCCACTTCGGCTACTGGCTATTTTCTTTAAAGAAGTTCTTAACCCATCAAGGACCCAAATCGCCAAATTAAGCCTCTTCTGCTGAAAAATGAGTTTACAACTTATACTGAAAATATGACGGAAACTTATTATGGAAGCTCTACTAAAACATGGACCAATACATCCTGTTTTAAAGTTCAATCATAAATATTGGAATCTCTATCGTGAATTTAAGAGACAGATGACATAGAATTTAATTCTTTCGGCTTAACTATTAAGATCGAGTCAGGGTCTAGCCAAAAATAGCTCGTCTCGCTACAAGAGTCTTCTAATATATGTATGCAATTTGGATTATGTCCAGCACTCTAATAAATAGTTAAAAAGTCTACAAATTAATTCAATATTTATATATATTAGAATATAAATATTCAATTAATTTTTAGACTTCTTAAATATTTTTCATATGTTCCTTATTAAAATCGAATTTTTATTAAATATTTCAATGTTTAAACATACACATGTAACGATTGACAACATTATTATACATGTCGTCTTTGAGGCCAGGCCATTCACTCATTTCCCACATTATTTATGTAAATACAATTGTACGTAGAGAAATAAAGAAAAACAAACGGCGTAAAATAAACATTACATTTGAGACTCGATGATGTGTAATTAAAAGTCAAACTAACACACACGCACATATTCACACACATTAATTATGTTTCATATACTGTATTTATCATTTGTGTTGTTGTTGTGGTTGTCGCTGATGTTGTTTTTGTTATTTTTACATATCCTCCTCGCACAAAAAAATCCATTAATTTCTCTTCTATAATTACAGTCAAATATTTGTATGCGCTCCCCATTTCCAATTGATAGCCAACCGGGAAATAAAACAGAGAGACTGGGGATGAAAAACCACAATAAAAAGAAGGATTTGATTTTTAAATATGCAGGTAAGAATGATAGACTTTCAGTCAGAGAGAGAAGGTATTATTGCAACATGTTTCAACCACATATGCAATTGAAGGAAAATGCCAGTGGCGGATTTAAACAAAATATTTTATTAATTTGAAATGGATAAACAACAATTCCTGACGATTAAAGAACATTTAAAACGAATATAGAAAGAACCATATCAAGAAAAAATATTTTAAATCATATTTTGAAATCGAAGCAATTAAAGCAAATGATATTTCCAAGATATTTTTTCCCCATCGATGACCAGTCACCATCCAATTCAATATTAAAATCCCAGCAGCTTTATATCATCTGCCAATGGCAAAGCTGTGTATTGGTCTGTATATCAGTCAATTTTTTTTTTTTTATTTGAAGAACCCATCAAAATAGTTATACCTCAACATAACCGCTACCCATTGTTTATTTCAACAACGGCCACAACAACAACAAAAAACGCAAAAGTGGTTGCTGTCCGATTTATAGTTTTTTGTTGCTGTTGTTGTTGCTTTGTTTTTGTGGCAAGTCTGCAGCTTGTCGTTGTTTTCAACATTCCAACAGAAATCTATTATTGATGGCGCCAAACTCAGCAACGACGAACATAGGAAAACAGCATAGCATGCAATCGAGCGAACGACTGAACAGTTCGGACCAATATGTTGTTGTTGGCAAGTCCAATTTAGCTCAATGTTGCCAGCTGTTGCATTCGAACAAGAACAAGAAAAAACGCCCAGAGTTTTGGATTTTTTACAATATTTTATTTTACAATATGTGTGTGTACTTTCATATGTTACCACCGTGCATCGTTCCTCCTACCTCCCTCTCCCCCAAAACAAATAATTCTTGTCCTTGCAGTTTTGCAGAAAAAAACGAATTCTCCGCCATCATTAGTGGAGCAAAAGCAGCAATTGTTCTCGATTTGTGTGCCACACACAACAGAAAAAAGGAAAAAAGTTATGTTCTGTTTGTAGCACATGAAGTGTTGCCGGTGGGCGGACCAGGAGGCGGAGGAGGGAACATTGCATTCAAAGTGGAACAGCAAAAAACTCGAATTAAATTGACTGAAGTTGTTTTGTTGAAAGGACCTAAAAAAAATGGAGAAAAAGGATAATGGGATTTTTGTTGTTAGGGTTGCTTTGAAAAAAAAAAACAAAATCAGAAGGAAATGCATCAGGATATAATGATTTGTTATTGGTAACAGCAGAATATTATTGGAAAGTTGTTTAACAACAACTTTTACAAGCTGGGATATTATGGTCACAACTCGATACTAAAATGATAAATAATAATCCGCGACTTAGTGTCGCGGTTAAATGGAGATTGCGTGAATTGGAGGATTAATTGACATTTAAATTCCCCATTATTCAGATAATAGCGACCTTTCATATCTTGGATACTATTTTTGTAGTGCATTGCTTCAAAATTGGCCTCGTTCGACGAAAATATCATCCCAGCGTTTAATTCTGCAAGAGCTGAGACTAATAACTAACCACTGGGGAATGCTCCGGGGTCAATAGCGTCCGTCTGTCTGTATTTTTAAAACGAAGTGTTTGGATTTAATTCTTCACATTACAATTTTTGCACCATGATCTGGACTTTTTCTCACCCCGAAAATGGTTCAGTTTTTTCGAATTTTGACATAAATATCTGCTGACGACCATTTCTTAAATTAACCTCTTAAATATAACTTCTTGCCTATTAAAATATGGTCATTGGAACTTTTTGTTAAATTCCCATAACTCTTCTGTCAACATTCCGAAACTTTGCTGAAGAAGAAGAAATTCTTTCGATTGTCATGGTTGACATACAACTAGTCAACAATTGACCACAAGTGCTGTAACATTTATGGAACATATTGTAGTGTGGTGGGGTACAACATAATCGGAATCTCCTGTTGCTTTCTGAAATATTTCTACATACATAATTACATGGTGTGGGACGAAAGTCCATCACAACTTATGATTTTACAACAAGTCAAGGCTCATAAGTTCAAAGTAAGTTGTAATCTTCAACTAACAAAAGGGGCTAAGAGGCCTAGAGTCAATGGTAGACAAGACGAACCTTGTAATATGAATAAATTATTATTGTTCTTGTAAGATATTTTTACAAACAGGAATTCTTATCCTTTTAACATTCTTACAAAAGGATGACATTGTTCTTTTTTGAAAGATTACATACAAGTTATATACCTTGAATATTTTAACAAAAGATTTGTAACCAAGTTTTGTTTTCTTTTCTTCCTGGTCATCATTGTCTTATCATTTGTCATTTCTTTTGTTCTTTTTGTTCCGCAACCTTTCCCGCATAGAAACAAGAAAAAAGACGCGAACTGCGTCTGAAACGATTTTGGCGTTCGCCAAAAACCACTTCATCCGAAGATTCAACCGGATACGAGAGTCCAACACGAGCCAAGAGCTCCTCGAATGATGTCCAGCGCTTTAATCATTTGCACTATACAAGTCTGGCCCAGAGTGCTCCCTCGCATGATGGTGGTGCGGATAGCGAAGGTGGTGGTGGTGGTGGCGTTGGCGGCAGTAAAAATAAAACATCGCTGGGCAATGGTGGCTCCACTTCACTCAACAACAAACCCACATGTTCATTACCATTACTACAAGTTTGGCCAAGTCAGGTAGGTATAAAATGTGAAATAAACAAACACACAGACACAATCACACACACACATACAGTCAACAAAATGTGACCTGACCTTTTTTTGTTGAGGTTATATGTAAAGCTTAGATTTTTATTGTGTTGATAAGAAATGAAAAACAAAAAAAGCTAAAGACAGCGTTGAAAATTAATGCTTTGAAATTTCTTTTTTTATTATCTGAAAATATACGACAAATAATTGTTCTTTTGTTTTTTAATTATATTTTCGTTTGTTTATCGAACATCCTTTTTACGCTCACACATTATGACATTTTATATAGTCAAACCATCAGTGGCTGTTTTACATTCAACCAGGTATGGAACAATGGAATTGAACACTCGTAATGGATAGGGAGGACTACGGAATATTATTCAAAAGATCTGTAGAAAGTGTATCTGGGAGAAATCAGAATTCTGTAATTGGGGCCTAAAGTGGGAGCTATTTGAAACTTTTGAAATCAATAGGTATTTTTGGCACCCAACCTGAGGTTCAAATTTTATATTATTAATTTTTTTAATAAAATGTTATGGTTATTTAATTTAACATAACAAAACCGTCCATTTTTTTATCGACACTTTTTAGATGAAAAATCTCAATATTTGGCGCCCAACATAACTCTACACAAGACTAGTTATTAAATTAGGAAAGGAAATAAGGGAGTGTCATTGTTATTAAAATGCTGACATAGGATCATAAAACATAAATTAACTAGAACCCTTGGTACTACTCCGACATGGCTGAAGTAGGCATTCAACTTCGAAGATTTTTAGATCTTAATAAATCTTAATAATTGCAGCATCTATTGCAGTTTTTAATGTTAGATAGCGTTTATAATAAGTTTTTAAAAAATGGCGCCCAACGTAATTTTCTATGACAGAAACAGATTTTCTATTACTCTACTGTAAAGTTATCTTAGTAGGGCTATTATTTGCAGAATTATTACATAGATAGCTTTCATAAAGACATTTCTAAAAATGGCGCCCAACGTATTGTTATATAAAAGAAATAGGATTTCTATTTTCTCATTGAAATGATCTCTAAGAAGATCAAATAGCCTTCTATAACTTGTGATATCAATGTAGTTTTTTATGTTGGTAGATGTGTTGATATGATTCGGAATATATCCGTGCCTAAAATATCAAGGATGTGAATGATAGACCTATTAATTTACTCTCATCATCGATGATATTTCTGACAAATCTAAATAAAATCCTGGCATTACTAAAATGGCGCCCAACATGTTAGAACGTTAATTATAGCAAATTCTATAATTCTACAGACTTTTTCCATCCCTGAAGCCATATCAAACATATATGTTGCAGATTTACCCATTTTGTGTTATTTTTTTTTTTTTGGTTCTTTTGTATTGTGTTGATTATCACTCGCCTCGTCTCACATTACCATACATATATCTTATCTCGTATTTCTCCCTCTCTACAATTTTCTCTCTCACCTACTTGTACGTGTCTGTGTCAATGTGAGGACGCTTTAAATGGATTCCTTGTAAAAAAAAACAAAAAACAAACAATAATAACAAAAACAAACATTCACAAATGTAATGAACAAAAAAAAAACAAAAAACGAAAACGAAAATCTTACGCGCTTTAATGTGCCGCGTGTGGGTGTATGCGTGCGTGCTTGTATGTTGGGTTTTAAAGCCGCTGCTAAGACAGGAAGGTTTTTTACAGTTGCGTCGTAACAGCGGTCCTGAAGGTCAAAGGGTATGCGTTCAACTCAATGAACATCATATAAAATATTTTTTAACTCAAAACTTAAATTTTTTTTCTTCTCCTCAAAGCTTGCATGTTTTATTCTTAACATTACTTTTATAAATAAATAAATAAAATTAGTATTTTTTTACAAAAATATATCCCCCCAAAAATAGTTCCTGCAACACGGACCTTTCAATTTGTATAGTATTTTCATGAAATGGCAAATTGAAAGTTGTTTAACAAAAAAAATCCCCCCGTTTAATTAAACACTACAAAGGACCCCTTTTATGCTCGTATCCTTTTTGCCCATTTTCTACTACTCAGTGTATATTTTTTCCTCTCACTCACATTTTGTATATATTAAAAATAAATTTTGTAAAGTTTAATTTTTTTCTTAACACCTTTACCGAATCATCACAAAAATCGCTCCCTTCACCCCTCTCAATTTCAGTACACTTATTACACCATGGCAATGACTGTTTCCCCCCTTTGAACCAGTTTTCTTCTAGTGACTACTTTCAGATCGTTAAGCACTTAATTTTTGTTGTACTCCCTCCCTCCCCATCTCTTTTTTACTCTCTACTACTAATTGCAAACTGCCATTGTTTTGCTGTTGTTGTTGTTAGTATTTTGTCATTAAATCTTTGCCATTTCCTGTTATATTTCTAGGACTCGCCACGAGGCGAAGCTGATGGCCAGTCGTTTATATTCCCTGCCATTGCTGAGACTAGCACGAGCAGTAGCAGTGGGGGAGGCAACAGCAGCAGCACCACCAGTGGCAACACCACTCTACTGACCAGCACATCGGGCAACAGCAGCACCGGCAATCATTTGACTCTGAATACGGGAGAACGTCGCAATTCACTCTACTGTGATACCTTGCATGCTGGCGACTCAGGCATCGATTCGGTTCAGGCATCACCCTCACCCAATGCCCTGCCTCCGCCACCGGGGGCAAGTCTGATTGGTATGGCCAATCCCTCGGCCGATACGATAAGTTCCTGCAATGTCTCACCTGCCACCACGCCCACACAAGGATCGCCCAATCCGTCGTTGCGAGGCAACCGGATGGGCGCCAGGGCCAGCATCAGTGTGGGTGCCCCAAATTATCGCCGCAAATCCAGTGCTCTGCTGCATCCCGATCATGCGAGGCTGTTTGCGTTGCGCATGAAACATGCGGCGGCCCTGGAGCGGGCCCAGACGTCACCGGATCAAACATCCATTGAGGATGCGACTGAGTTTCATGACAATGGTCTCGCAACGAATTTGCGCCTCTGTTCTGCCTCGTCATCGACGACATCGTCGCTAACCTCCGTGGCCGCGGTAAGCCTAGGCGGGGGAGTATCCTCCTCCGCTGCTGCAGCAGCGTTGGCTGCTGCCGCCGGTGCGGGGGCCCAGCAGCGAGTCTCCGATCCGTGGCTACAGCCGCAATCCGATCGAGAACGTGACTCACGTCACGAACGACGCCGATCATCGACCATTACGCGTTACTCGCTTTTCGATGCCCTCGATCTGGAGTATGCCTTGCTGCGTGCTGCCGCTCGCGGTTCTGTCGGTCCGTATTCGTTAAGTGAGTCGATACACAAACTAACCTTTACGCAGTCACTGGCGTTTCCGGCGCTGGCACGCGGTTTGGCTTCCAAACGTCGACGCTCGGCAACACGAATGAGTTCGCGTCCCCTCAATCCCAATGAATCCGGTTTAAATACCTGCGCCAAAGTGGTAACCGCCGTGATATTAGTGGCAATCTCTTTTATGGTCTTTCTCATAGTGTATAAATTTGTACGGACGTGAGGTTTACTCCTGGCCCCGACAGATTTTCCCGTCACATATCAAAATGCCTATTCGTTGTCGGCATCCGCATCGTCGTCGTCGTCATCAGCGACGGCTCTAACGGGAATTAATAATAGCAGTGGGCTAAAGCCATTGTCGGGGTTCAGGAGAGTGTTGGGTATTAAAGATAGAGATTGAGAAAGAAAGAGAAAGCAAAAGCGAAGAAGACGAAGAAAAAGTGCACAAATTGAAAATACAACAAAAACAACAACAACATTAAAACATATTAAAATGTGATACAATTAAAAAAAGAAAACAAACAAAAAAATTCCAGAAAAAAACAAACCTAAATTAAATTTAAAGAAAAAATCATGATAAACCAACCTCTAATTCTAAATGAAATCAATAAAAATTGGAATGTGTTAACATAAATAATATTTATATATATATGAAAGAAAAAACATAAATAAATCTTATACAACAACAGAAACAAAAACATATGCATATAATCAACCAAATAAAAAGGAAAAACTAAATAACTGACAATTTCAACATATCTCTTTACAAACTACAACAATGCAACAACAACAATCCCTAGAAATGGAACAACAACTACAACTCTGCAACAACAGTCCTTCTTTATTAACAATAACAACAACAATTTCTTCTATCACTAACAGCTATCTCTTGCTCTCACTTTTATTTCAAGCAAAAGAAAAGCAAACTGCTCTATTCTCTTATGTTTATTTTCTCTCTCTCTCTTTCAGTTTTTAACCTCTCTTTTTTAGCATTTAGTCAAGTAGTATTAAATTAATGAAACTAAAAAAATAAGCAACGTAAATTAAGCTAAACTAAGTTAAAGCCTAAATAAGCCATAAGGAAGAAACAAAAAGGTTTCCTTTTTAAAGAAAAACAACAACAAAAATAACAAAAGAAAATAACAACAAAAACAAAACATTTTGTATGAGAAAATGCTCAATATTTAAGGAAATCCCTACTCTTTATACCAAAATTATTTATAAAAATAAAACTCTTGCAAAGCTAAAGCTTGATTAATGTCTATGATTTGGTAAAACAGAAGAAATCCTATTCCTTAAACATCCTTTCCACAACAACAACTACGGTAAACAGTCTCCCTCACCAAGAGGGAGGAACAAGAATTTCCACCACAATGCAAAGCAAAGCAATTGTTTATGGCTGACAGCCAATCTCGTCTTTTTCTTCCACAGCAGAAAAATCTTGCCAGCCATGAAACAAAACCAAATCACCAGGGTCTCTTCTGGCAAGCTGCTGGGAAGAAAATGGAATTCCTGGTTGGCTGTGACTGTTGCTGCTGCTGCTGTTATTGTCACCACAATAATTCTTTGTTTGTCTGTCTGTCAGTCTGCTTGGTATTTTCTCAAAGATGATAACTTAATTAATAAACAGTTTTTTTTTCTTTTCCTAGAGCGATTTATAGAGAATAATGGGTGGGATGTATCCAACAGCCAGCCATCCTCTTGAATGACACTTAAATAATTGCATTGTTTGTAAGTTGCCAAGATAGCAATAACAACAAAAACGCCAACATTATCAGAAATAAGTGATAATAATAAGCAACTTAAGAAAACTTAGAAAAAAAGAATCATACACAAAAAGAGGTTAGGTTAGAAATCATGAGAAACGAAATAACCTTCTGAAATCAACTATTTTTATGTAATTACGGGTCTATATAGACAGATAAATTTTATGTTAGTTGTAGACGGGTATTGTGAAATATGGATAAGAAGTTCTCGAAATTAAACTAAATTAAGATACTTCCTTCTTATTATCGAGTCGTGCGGCCTACATTAGAGTTGTGTGATTTCGGAACAAACGAACTGTTCGACAAACGGTTTGTAATAGGAACGGATCTTCGCCTCGATCATTTTTCCTCTCGCATTTACCTAGTTCCTTTCTATGTAAATTTTGCTTAAGTTAAACAGTAAACAGTATATTGCTCGGATTTATATCGTAGCGGAGGAAATTTTTTTGGTACTGTGTTTTGGATATTTATAAAAATCAACTTAAAGTCCCCTACAGCTGAAATGAATCTAAAGCCCCTAACATTCTAATAACCAACCTCAGCATCAACACGTGAAGATTACACAAAATAAAGTTGACAGTAGATAGGGTCACTCGGAGGAAAATGGAAACACTGAATTAGTAAAGACCCCAACCACTGCACAAAATTCTATGAGATGTTGTTCTAGGCAACGATAGATGGCAGCCCTAAGGTCTTAGGACAGGTTACAGCATACAAATATGGAATAAATACAATGCACACAAATCTAACACCACGGCTAATCGAGTTTGATGGAGAGTAGTAATAGGAGAAATAAATCATTTATAAATCAATTGATGCCTTAAAGAACCAATTAAAAAATGTATCCCTAAAGCTGTGGAACTTAGAAAATTTAAACAAAAAATCTAATATTAATTCTTCAGCGTTACAATTTTCGTGATTTGCTGAGGGCAGACCATTTTGTCAAACGTGAGATTAGTTAACCACTACATAAAATTCAATGAGACATAGTGTCTAGGCAACGATAGATGGCAGCCATGAGGTCCTAGAACAGGGTACATTATTCCAATCATCTACTTAACTGGAAACGAAACTAACATAAGGGTTGGTTAGATGGAGAGCAGGAGAAAAACAAATTATTTGTGAAGCAATAGATTCCGAAAAGATCCAATTAAAAACTAAATATGGAATATAGACGTTACAATTTTCATTATTTACTGAGGCCAAGCCAATTTTACCAAGCATGAGATTGGTTAAGAAAAGATTTGAAATAAAATTGAAAAATTACTTACCCCATTCGAAGTTCAACAATTGAATTGAACGAACTGAAAAGAACAAAAAGAAGATATGGGTTAATAAGAATGGAATGTAAATATATATGTTAATAAGAGACGTAAGCCAAAATATGCTGATTTGTTTAGAAAAGAAATCTCTAGGTAGACTACAAAGTATATCCGGTACGAGTTCTGAACAAAATTTCATATATTCCATAAAACAATACATCAGTGATAAGTAGAGTTGGACAACATCCTAAAGCGGTTCGATCTTTTTCGGTTCGCTCCGCCAATTGAAAATGAAAATTTAGTTCCATAGCTTTTCCTATTAGTTCAATCGTTCATTAAATTGACTTAGATGGACTACTGGATCAAATGGAACTAGGTGAACAAGAACAAAAAGAGCCGAATCTAAGACAGAAATGATGGGTACCTTTTTGCAGAATAATTCTTTTGAATTCGTTCTAGAACGATCATACTACTTGATCATCTATTGGTGTGTGATTTCTAGAGTTGCTTAGTTAAAAAAAAACTAGTTTAATTGAAAAAAAATTGAAAAATTGAAAAAACTAGTTTAATTGAACGATTCCATGAAAAGAGTTTATGAACAATGTATGAACTAGTTCCATACCATTCACTTTATGTTGTTCTACGCCTATATTTCCCAAAAACTGCAAATATTGGTCTAAAAAATGTTTTAAATTGTAAAAATTCAGCTAATGAAGGAAGATAATTGTAAACGTTCGTATCAATGTCTATGTTCGATCAACGAACTATGTTGTGAACTATTAACAATGTAATTAGAATTAGATAAATGAATAAATCGGGCCTAGTACTGTTCCTTTTGCGGAATAGTTCCTTTGAATTATATTGATCAGACTTGACTGAAAACTGTTTACTGGGTCAGCATATGAACTATGTTAGCGTATGAACTAGTTCCATTTAGTTCAGTTCCTTATTTTACTCAAATGTGGAACACAACCGATTTATATGGACAATATGGTATACAACCCTGGTATCTGCCTCAAGGAACATGTAGTAGGTCACGTTGATCTGCACCAAATTATAAAATCCAAATTTTGACAAACACAGATAAATATGCAAGCATTTATATTGTGATTTTGAATTTCACAAAAATACTGAGGAGAGTTTCACCAAACTGTTGTATTTATTTTTTTAGATGTTTAGATGAAACATGTCCAAAAATTGAGGGTATTTTAAGGTTTTCTATGTCGTCATAACTCCGCTCCCGTAATTTTTGACAGTAAAAGAGCGAACTATTAAACATTTCTGCAACGCGAAAGATGAAGTTCCTATTTCTATCCACTTCTCAATGGCAATTCATAGATTTACTATTTCGTGGAAAGAGGATAATTAAATTCTAGGTATTCCCTAATCTTCCCGGCAACTCGGTCTTAAAATTGAAATTTTCAAAATAATATATTTTACATAGATCTTCCCTTTTCAACCAAAAATTCCCATTACACCCCTCGTATTACATAGCTCTGCCATACTTGACACAAGATCTACTAGAATCTACTACAAAAGGCAAGCATTAGTTGTTGTCGACGACGTCGTCAAGTGCAATAAAGATGACATACAATATGTATGTAAGTATGTGTGTTATCATGTTTGGAATTAGAACTGTTGTGCGGGTGTATGTGTGTGTCTCTGTGACTAGTTAATTTGACAGTGAGTGCAGTGTTGTTGTTGTTTCTCGTATATTGTCTACTACTAATTCTACAACACAATATGCTAACAGCAACAACAACAACACGAACAGCAGCAACAGCACTTGTTTCATAATAAGCTTTTATTTACAAATACCATGGCCACTTGTGAGAGTAATTCAAATGACAAGTAGACAAATTTTTGGCAACAATTTGTTTACATAGCGTGTCTGTCACTCTCTACCTCGTCTTCTTTTTTTAATTAAAAACGAATATAATACTGCATTTCTATGGAATTTCAAAAAAGGAATTTGGATAAATTTTGTTTTACTAATTGCTAAAATGATTTTTTAATTGCTTTGGCTTTCATTCCCTTCTTCTGCAATTTTCCGCCTTACCAAATAAACAATAATAATATTTTCTTTCTTTATTAACTCCTCTATGTTTTGTTTTATTAACCTACTAAAGTGCCTGTATATTTATTACTTACATACATATAACCTATGTGGACACATTACAACAACAATCTCAACAATTTTTTATATTATTATTATTATTATTGTAGTAAATACTCTAAGCTTCGAATTTATAGAATCTTCTTTCCAATTAAACAAACCAACTTAGTTTAGAAACAAAAAATA